AGACAGGAAGAGAGACAGAGAGAGAAAAGCAAATAAAAACCCCAACAAAACAAAATACAACCATGGTTCAAAATAAAACACAGCAAAAAAACAAAAGCAAAAGTAATGGGGACTTGTAGAAGGCCATTAGATCACTGAGTCTTGCCTTGGAAGGGGACTATTGGAACCCAGGCCTCCATCCTCTGTTTGCTTACTAGCCATGAGGTGAGCAGCTATGCTCCATGTTACCTGAGTACGATGTGCTAATAGCCAAAGCAACAAGGCCAACTCATCATGGACTGGAAACTCCGAAACAGTGAGTCACAGTAAACCTCTCCTTCTACATACCATATCTATCTCAGGTGTTCCCTTACTGTACTGGAAACTCTGACTAATACACGAGAGCAGTGATGGTGAGCCTTTTAGAGCTTTCAACCATACACATAGCACACTGTTGTGCCGTAGGTTCACCACGAATGCTCTAGGGTCTGGGCATTTTGGGGGACTATTTTCCACGGACTACATGCTCCAACTGGACTTTATCAGCTTACATTCCCACAAACAATATAGAAAGATGAGTATTCCCCAAGAGTCTCACCCACAAAATGTACTCTGATATTTTTAAACATTTGGCAATTGATAGGTGAAAAATGATTTCTCTTTTACATGTAATTTGTGTTTCTCTCATGAATAAGGTTATGTTTATTCTTTTTATGTTATATTGTTGTTCCTCAACATGCATAATTTATTATGCATTAAGAACACAAATAGTTTCTTTTGACATGTATTTCATGCATTTGTGTTTATTCTCATTTATATACTTGTATTCTAACTTCTGATATCGCTGGTCATGATTTCTCTTTATTTCTTGCTTTTATACTTACATTTAAAACTCATTTAATGTTAAAGTATACAACTATTTGCTTAGACATTATGTATTAAAATATATACTTTACCTAAGTAACATTTGTTATCAACATTATTATATACTCAGTTTTTATATTGCCTCACTCTATACATGAACTTTGTATTTTATTTATTTTTGTCTATATTCATGGACTATTATTGCATTGTTTTAATTACACAGAGACCAATATCATACTTGAATATCAGATAGGTCTGGATTTCCTTTGAATTATTTTTATTAATATTGTCTGGGTCATTTTTCTATATTTTTCCACATGAAGTTTCACTTCAATTTCTATATCATGAAAAACAACAAAATTACAAGCATTTTATTAACATTGAATTGAATTTATAAATTAATTTTGAAGGAAACCTATACTCTTATGTATTGAATCTTCTATTCCATGAAGAGATTATTTTTCAATTTCTTCAAACCCATTTTCAAACCTTCCAGGTGCTAGATGCTAAAACCATGTAATAATGGTTTTCATACATCTTTTTAGTATAAGTAAAAAGTATGCCAGTAGCACCCACTGTACCAGAGACCTCTAACTATCAGATAGTTTTTGGAATTTTATTTCCTACAACAGATCCATCCTTCTTTCCAAGTCAGGAAAATTAGCAAAATGAAAATAAAGACACCACAGAAAAGGTAGGAAAGAATCTGCCGCACATGTAATTTCTATTTCAGGTGACTTGTATTACTATATAGCAATGTTACTGATTTTTGTATTATATTGATTTCATATTCTTTCAATGTAAAGAATATGAAATTGCTACATTTATTATCTCTAAAAGATTTTTAGTGCAGTTGCTGAGATTTTTTGATATTTAAGATCATATTATTTTTAAACAGTGCAAACTTCTTTTCCAATTTGGATTAATTTTGTTTCTTTCTCTTGCCTGGGCGCTTGGCCAGAAATTCCCATATTATGTTGAAAGAAAGGGTTGAAAGTAGGCATCCTTTTCTTGCTCCATATCTTAAGTAACATTAGCTTTTACCCATCCAGTATGCTAGTGGTTGGCTCAATACACATGGCCTTTACTATGTTGTAGTATGTTCCTGCTATATTTAAATTGTCTAGTGTTTTATCATAAAAGGATATTGAATTTCATCAAGCTTTTCTTTGACTGATATGAACATATAGCTTGTGGCCATCATTCTGTTGATGTGATGAATCATATATATTGATTTCCATGTGTTACACAATCCTTGATCCCTGGGATAAACTCACTTGATCATGCTGAATGATCTCTTTAATGTGCTTTTGAATACATTTGATCAGTAAATGACATGTAACCTCACTCAATGTGGAATATAAAGTTGGTTTAATGGTTAGTAAAAGTAGAATGATGTTTACCAGAGACTAGAAAGAGCAAGGAAAAGGGAGGAATGTGGAAAGGCTGCTCGGTGGATACCATGCTGCACTCAAAGAGGAGGGTAACCTGCTGCTGGTGTGCTCTCCCATGGTTCAATAAATGTGGATATGATTGCTCGTCCAGTATCTAAAAATGAGAGAAGAGAAGATTTTGAATGTTTCTCCATGAAGAATTGAAAACTGCTTAAAGGAATAGATGTTTTTAAAGTGATTACATAGTGTATACATGTATGAAAATATCATCTCATCATTTAGTATGTGGTGATTTTTTTATTTTTGTGTATCAGTGAAAAAACAAAAAAAAAGGACTGTCTGATTTTTAACAAACTGCAAGCTTTTGCAAAAGGTAAAAAGATACACTAAAGCAGACAAATCATTCACCAGCAATAGATTCACATTAAGTTGAAACTGAAATGAAAAGGCCAATAACTTTATATAACTTATTTTTATTATGCTTGTATTGGATTTATTCTGTTAATTATTGAATAATTGTTTTAATTATTGAATTAAAAGTTTGTAACTTTTAATATATAAAATGTAGAAAATTTATAGTTTTATCATTACAGTTTATTCTTATCTTTCCCAAGTAAAATTCATTTCAATAAGAAATATTTTCCATTTCAGATATTCTTGATTTAAACATACTAAGAATGGTATGTTTGTGCCAACAACAAAAATTGTTTATAATTTTCCATGCAGATGATTTGACTACATTTTAATATTGTGGTTTTTTTAAACTTCAAAATAGAAGAATTCTTTCATTTCTTATTGGCTGCAATGCAAAGTGTCAAGATCTTATCAGTAAAATCATTAGACCTTATTATTTTTCTCTTTGCCATAATTTTAAAGATGCATTCAATTTTGCATGAGATGTAGAAATATTCATATTTTTCTCTATCCTTTGAACATTATACTAAATTTAAGAAAATCATAGTTAAAAGTAAATGATTTTTACTTTTGTGCTAGTATTTTTGGTTTACTATGAATTATCTTATATTATCACTTTTACATTAGGATATACTTGGCATACATAATGAATACAGTCAACATATGTTCATCGCTTAATTTAACTGAGATAGAATTAAAAAATTCAGCTACGTTTGATTATCATAAAGTTTTTTTCAGCCACTGCAAATAAAATTCCTGTGTTTTCCTGTAGAACAAAATATAGATATTGGTTATGATAAGGATAATGCGGGGTAGAAAGATAAAGAATAAGAGAAGGATTTTTAAAAGGACAAGAGAAAAAGGAAAGAAAAATGACAAGAAAAAGAAAAGAAGCAGGAAGAAAGATAATCAAAATTAAATAATATTGTTAACGTTTTCATTTGAAGAAAGTATAGCTGTACTTGATGATTATATTAACCATGACAGCTAATTTATTGTGATATAAGAATTGAATTGTGGTGTAAGAATTGAAGTTCAAAACAAATGTTCTGTGTCAGAAAATTTTTTTAGCTGTCAGGCAGCAAGAGAAAAAAGTTTATATAAATATAATGATTCTTCATCCAATGCAGAAGTATAACACTGAAGAACTTTAATAACCAAGCAACAATATCCAGTCCCTCTAGGTTTTTAATATTTTGTCAGAAAACAAGCAATTCACATATTAATTTAATTATAAGTGCAGGAAAAATAAAGCATGCAAATCATAGAAGACAGTTTCCTAAAGAACCTATGTGAAAAAGCAAAGTCAACCATGAATTCTTGATTTTCAATTGTTTATTCAGTAGAAACCAGAAGCCCAGGATCCTCCATAGCATGATGGGTGACAGTACCCACATCTGTAGCCAGAGCCATACCCACAGCCAGAGCCGTATCCGCAGGATCCATAGCCACTGCCCCAGCCCAGTTGACGGAAGCTGCCACAGCCACAGCCATAGCCATAGCCCAGGCCACCAAAGCCTCCATAGCCATAACCCTGGCCTCGATAATAGCTGCCATAGTAGGTCATGGTGTTAAGGGTGTTGAGTTAGGTTTGGTATTGGAGGTTAGCTTTGTGAATGAGGCAACACAGAGACATTTATATATATACTCTGACTAGTACAAGCAACACACCTCTTAAAGTCATCTGGTAGAACATATTAGTTGAAAACTATGCCAAATAGCTTATTTCCTAAGCCTATCACATCTTCAACGTATTTATGTAATTAGTTATTTAAAAGTTATGCAATAGGTTTGATGTTCTGCTTTATAGGTACACTCAGAAAAATATGTTGTCTCTATTAAAATACTATGGTGTTTATAGTCTTCATACATACTTAAGTATCTGAGTTTCCCACTCTATAAATAAATCCCTATAGCTTCAAGTATTCACTTTGCCTGACAGGAGATTGCCTTTATCTTCTAATTGCACCATTCCTTTGACATTCCATGGCTGCTGATGCTCTTCCAAGTCAACTGGATTATATCAACCCTGCCAAGAATTCACATAAATTAGACCATAATTGTTCCCTGAAATTCCAGTCCTATTTTTCAAATGGCAATCAACTATAATGTTTATGCTAATAGCATATGAATTTAAAGTCCACTGAGTGTCATTTTTAATAGCACTGAGGATATTTAATTTTTAATAGATCCACAAGCTGCTGTTAAAAAATTTGTCAACATAATGTCTCCTGCAGAGACAGACTTGTTGCTAATAAAGATTGTATAATGGGCCTAGTAATCTCATACAAATATCTTCATCTGCACAAATAGATTTTTATTTCAGATTCTAAATTGTACTTAATCATAGAACTACATTATTACAGAATTAAATAAATTTGAGTCAATTTATTTCAATGTCCATTTTAAATTCTTATTTATTTTCCTTATTTTTATTATTGAAAATATTGTGACTCAGAGAGACAAGACGCATTTTGCAGTGCAGAACTCTAGTGGCAGTTAAGGGATAAGAGAAGACTGATTCAATTATTGGCTTTGGTTCAGCCGGTAGATATGGAATTAAAGACACAATTGCAGATTTAAAAACATCTCTCATGCCACAAGATTCAGCCCGCTTATTTTTTTCATTTTTTTATTTACTCCATCATAATAAATGTATAAAACATGAAGTTAGTTCATATGTTTGCTCAGATAACACTACTTTTTAAAAGCTCAAAATAATTGAATTTCACATAACAGGGACTTTGATTTTTCATTAAATTTATTAAATTATTTTTCTCACTAGTTTAATT